TGTATATTTGGGCATGTGCTTATATTTTCTGACTGTTTATGTTTGAATGCTCTTGGCTATAATGGGCTTATTTTTAACATCTGGCTATTTTTCAAGGCTTTGACAAAAAAAAATTTTGTGCATATATATTCATGGTTATATATTGCTTGATTTTGCATGTATATATATATATATATATATATATATATATATATACATATATGTTCATGGTTATGTATTGCATGATTATGTGACATAGTGAAAAGGCCCTGCTGGCTACTTATTACCTGTATGACCTTAGAGAAATCACCTAACTTCTTTGGTCCTCAGTTTCCCCATGAGTAAAATGAAATGGTTGGGTTAGATGACCTCCAAGGTTCCCCCCCCCAAGATCTATAATCCTATAAATCTTTTGGTGTGCTCAGATAATGTAGACCTCATATTGCTTATTTATACAATATCTTCATGTAAAATTTCATCATTTTTGTCACTGATAAAGCTATAACTTGTGTTTCCAAAGCACTTGGGTAGCCAGTGGACACTAACCTCCTAGTGCTAATATACACTAAATCCAACAGATAGTACTCTTGAAGGCATGTAGGCTACTGTGAAATTTAGGTTCGATGGCTCAAGAAATCAGTCCTGGGTTCTGTGCCACCCTCACTCCTCCCTTGAAATAGAAAAGTAGTGGCAATGCCAGATTGAACTTTGTAAAGGAGCGTTCTACAAAAAAACCCAGATGCTCTGCAGTGCTATCTCCTCTATAGGAAATGTACTTATTTAGCTTTTAAACTGTGGCTGGTGTTTAGTTAAATCTTTTACAGACTCAGTTCACTGAAGGTGACAGAAGCACTCACTTGAGCTCAATGAAAAGTCGACATGACAGTAAATTTTTCAGTCCCCGACAGGAGATCTTGTTATAGGAGTCAGTATGGGGGTCAGGGCAGAGCCTGTTGATGATTGAGGAAAAGAGAAGTAAATTCATTCGGCTTCAGGCACTTTGTCAAGTGCCAGTAGCTTACCATTGAGAACTAGTCACCCGTTGGAGTCTTACGGCCCTAGAGGTCACTCATTGGATATAAATCATAGCCCCGCACGGGCTCAGCAACCTATCGCCATTCTGGAGGAAATAAAAAAGAGGAATGCTTCGTCCGGAATTGAAATGACTCCGAATATCCCACCACATGTTGCTGCTGAATGCAATATGTGGTTAGATATTGATCTCCAGAATCGAGTCATTAAAATGTGCAGTTTTTGTTTATTGGAACGAAGCAATTAAATGGTCCAGTTATGCCAGACCTTACCTTTTCTGATGAAAACTATTGATTTCTTGCCACAGCTTTATAAGCGACAATGTTTTTGATTACTCTTGACAAACCTCCTTGGAGTGTTAATTAAAATTGTACCAGATGAGCAGGTGTGGGAGATCATTAGATCGCCCAGATCACACATCTACACTTCATATTCTGCAGTCTTGCATAATGAATAGGGCACAAGAGGGGAAACACAATATCTTCATCAGCAGAATTAGCATCTTCACTTTTTTATTTATTAAAAAAAAACCCAACTAAGTGACATTACATTTTATAGTCCAGACGCTTCTGAGTTATTGGATCACTTCTAACACTACATTTGATTTCTGTTATGTTCATTTTTTAATGAGTTGCTCGTTTTTTTGTTTCTAAGATGGTAAATATTTTAAAATATTCTATTTCAATTGAAAATTAAGGAATCAAGTAAATGGGGTTGTTCGCAGATACAGTCATGAATATTGATATTTTTCCATCTGACAACTTTTTTCATTCTCCTCGATTTCTGTCCTAAATTTGAATTTTTAATATTTCTAAGCTTTTTCTCTTTGCGTCTCTGTCTCTACTGTCTCTCTGACTCTCCTCCCTCTCCCTGCTCCAGTATGAATTGTTCCTCTTCTATCTTTCTCAGTCTCCTTCTCTCTCTCACTCTGTCTCTGTTCCTCCCTGTCTCTCACTTTTTCTATCTCTTCATTTCTCTCTGTGTGTCTTTGCCTCTGCCTATCCCTGTTGTCACTGCATCAAACTATGCTTATTCTGGATTAGACTCTGGAAGGCTAAGCTCTGAAAGTGTAACTATTTGTGATGGCATTTTCTTTGGGAGTCTATAATCATTTAATCAAATTTCCTTTCAATCAGTTAAAATACCTTATGTGAGTTCTTCAGTGTATTTAAAGAAAGGGGGTTAGGCTCATAAACTTAGAATGGGAAAGCTCTTTAGTACTCAGTATATTGAGAAATGAAAGAGTTCTCCCAGAATGCTGTTGATGATGAAGTTTATATTATTATTCTCTAAGGATGTAGGTAGCCAGTGAATTGTACGCTTTGAGAATACGCAGAATTAAAATAGTTAATGTTAAAATTTGGTTTTGGCACCTTGTGGCCAACCGTGTAAAACATCTGGTTGCTAAATTCCTCACTTGTAAGTGGAGAGCATAATTTTCCATTAATGTGACCTGCGAGCACTGCTACTTTGAAACACGTATGTGCACTCACCACCATTTCAATGGCTACTAAAATCCTTTGGATCTGGTTGCAGTGGAGTCTATATATAGTGAGGCAGTACACGTTTCTTGGAATTCTAGGACCTGAAAGGGACATGAAGAGGTCATCCAATCCATTCCCCTGTTGCCAAACTGAGCTATTCAAGATGCATACTTTTTCATTTGTGTGGAAGGCAAAATGGGTCAATGAATTTGGAAATGAAATTGATATAATGTTGCCATTTGTGGATAGACCAGGACTCAGAATAATGATGTTTTTCTCTCAATTTTATCAGCCCCCCCCCAAAAAAAACCTGCCTCAGTTATCTGGATAATTCAATGATATTTAGATCTTGAATTATTTTGTTTTCAAATTCAATTCAATTGAACAAGCATTTTTAAAGTGTCCATCAGGTACAAGGTGCAGTGTGAAGTGCTAGGTTTACCAAGCCAAAAATGAAAGCCCTTGCCCTCATGGAACTTTCATTTTATTGTTTTTTAAAATCAATAATAGCTAGCATTGAGAGAGTACTTTAAGGTCTGTAAAGTGAAGTAAGTGCTATTATCATCCCCTTTTTCTGAAGGAGGATATAGAGAGGCTAAGTGTCTTGCCCAAGATCATAGAGATAATAAGTGTCTGAGGCAGAATTTGAATTCAGGTCTTTCTAATTCCTGTTCTTTCTACCCACTGTACCACCTAGCTGCCTCTTTTTCTTATGATCTCCTATTAGGGCACCCTTCCTGTGCCCCTAGAATAATCACATCATTTCACAAAGCTACAAAAAAAAAGCCACCAAAGTGTTTAGGATTGAGGAGAGTTGGAGACAATTTCATCTTTATTTTATGAAGGAAAATTTATATTTTTTTCCTTTGTTCATTTTTAATTTATTTATCTCCTTATTTGTTCACTAATTTATTTTTTTTTCATCTGTTTATGTATGGTATAGTGGAAAGAGCATTGGATTAAATATCAGAAGATTGGGTTCCAACCTAGCCTCTGCCATTTAGTAGCTATGCTACTTCAGACACTCTCTGGTCCTCAGTTTACACATCTCTAAAATGTGAACCTATAAAATAATACCTGCCCTCTCTCTACCTTACAGGGTTGTTACGGATAGGGCCCAATGGAGCAGTACATGGAAAGTGTTTTGTAAATATCATTATAATTTACAGAGTGGGAATTATGATGCATAGAAAGGTACCTGGGTGTCAGTTGGCAAGGGTTAGAGTTTAATCTGATATTTCAGAATTCTTCTATCACTCCTATGCAAATGCTTCTGTCATGTGGAAGAAGGATTAGCAGAGGGTGGAATCAGGAAAAACAGATTCAGATTTAATGCAATGAAAAACTTTGTGACTTTGGAGCCAAGTGGAGTGGGCTACTTCCAAATGGAGTGGGCTGCTTCCAAATGGAGTGGGTTCCCATGGCTATACAGGAGCTTCAGGTGGAGGCTAGTTGATCATTATTGGGAATGTTGTAGAGGGGGATTCCTTTCAGATATATGTTGGACTAGATCACCGCAAAAGGTCCCCTCCAAACCTGAGATTCTGTAATTATATCTAAGGTTGAAAGTGTATGAAAATCATAAATGTCTCAGAACTGAAAGATAGAATCATAGTTTTTAGAGCTTGAAGGAGATAAGAGATTTTTCTAGTTATCTCCCTAATGTAACAATTGAGGAAACTGAGGTTCAGAGAGAACCTATTGTGTAGAATCTTTACCTCCCACATATATTTTTATATATATGTGTAAAATATGTGTACATATATACATATATAATATATGCATATAATGTGTGTATTTAAGCATATAAGTGTATGTATGTGTGTGTATATATATGTGTGTGTATGTACGTGTGTATATATATACATATATATGTATATATATGTATATAATATATATATGTATATATATACATATATATATATATATATATACATATATATATATATATATATATATATATATATATATATTCAGTCCTGTGTCTATAAGAAACATTGAATTGAAGGGCTAATTCAGATTGTAGTTATGAAAGAAGCACCTGAAACTAGTAATTCAACTGCAGTTACAGTATTCTTTGATAATTCTTTAAAAATACTTTACTTGATTTTGTATTTTTATTTTATTATCTGTAGAAGATAGTTGTTCTGCTACATATGAAACCCTGATCCAGGGGCAGGCTGTCTCTTTATGATTTAGCACCAAGTTGTCAGACGTCACTGTTACAGTGGCTTTTGTTTAACAGATTTTCTTTGCTACCAGGCAAGGTTCAATTGAGGGTAGGGGAACATCCAGAAATGTAAAGTAAAAGCAAAAGAGCATCAATAAAATTATTAGAAAAAGAAAATAAAGTGTGGTATGGTGGATAGAGGACTGGCCTTGGAGTCAGAAACAATTGGGATCAAATCTTGTCTCTGATGCACACTAGTGTGATTCTGGGTAATTCACTTAATCTCTCAGTAAGTACCTCAGGTAACTCTAAAACTGTAAGTGAGAGTCACTTACCAGCCAATCTGCATCAGAAGAGGGAGTATTCCATACTGGGAGTTCTCAGAACCAGTGAAATTCCAGATCCAGACCAACAACAAAGACCAACAAAGTCAAAGGTGTAGAATTTGACCTGAAAACCATATGATTGTTTTATTGTTTATTTCATCTCAACATTTGGATGTATACCTATTTCAGCATCAACTTTTGCAGTGTGAAATATTGATGGAAAGGAACCACATTGTCTGTAATGTTTCCATTTATTTATTATTTGGGCAGTTTCCTCTTCCTTCCCTCCCACTCCTCCTGCAGGAATAAATCTTGGCATCATTTGTTGTGACCTCCTAAAGTGGAGATGAATGTCCCTGAAGCATTTCCTTTTCACTACTTCGGATGGTTCTTTAAAAAATCATTTTCAGATATGTAGCATTAATAAGTCTTATTGTCAGCATTCTTATTTTTGAAAAGGAAAATAATAGTGGAGAAAACAAGACGATGTTACTTCTTCCTATCTAAGATAAGCTTCTCTATGCTGGTCTCTCTTTCACTTTTGAATGGCAAATTGTTGCTTAATCAGTTATCCTGAAAGGAGTCAGGAAACGGAGACCATTTCAGAAACTTCTGGAAAGTGTATCTTACTCTTAAGAGCATGATTTATCCACTACAATTTAAGATGGTATTTTTGACCAAGCAGTCAGTGTTCATTTCAGGAATATCTTGTCATTTTTTATCCTGGTAAAGAATTTTTAGAATGGTGCATTGAAGGCTTCCCTCCCCCCTCAATTCTTTAAGTGTTTATTCATGTATTATATGTCTGAAGAATTTATTATGGATCTTTCTTTGCCAGTCTGATACATTTACAATTCTTCAGTTGTATATGACACTTTTTGTCCCCCCTTACTGCTGACATTGAGAGTTGGCAGTATTCCAAAGCCAATAAAATCCACATCTTAGTGCACTGCCTGGCACACGGTAGTCTTGTAATAAGTGCTTGTTGATTTGAGAATGGAATTAAATTCAAAAAAGCAGTTATTGAATTATTTACTCTGTACAAAGCACTGTGGAAGTAGGGGTATAGCCATTAATAAAACTTGATTCTTGCCCTCAATATACTTGTAATCTAGTTAGAAAAGTAAAACATGTGCATCACTCACTCAATTGATATTTATTAAGTGCCTACTATGTTCCAGGAACTACGCTAAGTACTAAGGATAGAAAAAGAAGCAAAAGACAGTCCCTGTCCTCAAGGAGCTTACAATCTACTGAGGCAGATAACATGTAAACAAACATACACAAAACAAGTTATGTACAGGAGAAATAGGAAATAATGAACAAAGGGAAAGTGCTAGAATTAAAAGGCTTTGTTTGAGGAAGACTTCCAGCAAATAATGGAATTTTAGTTGGGATTTAAAGGCAGTTAGAGAGTGGAGGAGGGAGCAGCCAGAGAAAATGGCTATAATGTAGTGGGAAATGAGCTATGCGGCCTGAGGGAGGTAGAAAATGCTGTGGGAGTACAGGGCAAGGAGTGGTGATATCTGGTTGGCAGGATTAAAGAAAGCATCACGGAAGACTTGGCTTCTGAGAGGGCTGGGAGGGATTATAAGATGCCACCAGTCATCAAATGGGATGGGGATGGAAGAGAGCTCTGGCTATTGGGTGCCATGGGATTTCTCCTTTAAGATGCGAGGGTAGAAATGGATGGTACAATCTGGCTTTCTTTTGAAAGGAAGCTACCAGTTAGAGATCACTGTCATACAGAAGAATGTGTCTGACTTTTTCTGACCGTTTTCTACTTGCTATTTTCTGGCTCTCTCCATCTTGGTTCTGTGAGTAACTGTCCCACCTGCCTTAGTTTTGGCTGCTTTTCTCAATATCTCACCGTTTGTCTTGGTCTCCATTTTCAGTTTCTTCTCCTGTGTGCTCCTGTGGCCATTCTAGACTTAATGGAAGCTGCCCATGCGGTTTTGTTCATCTCCAAGCTCTCTTCTCCCTCTCCTTGAAGTCACTGATACCTGATCTCAGGCTGTGCGGTTGTTGGTGGCTGGGGGTGGGGTGGGGGGAGGGAATAGGTGAGGAGGGAAGCAATTGTATATACAGAGGGATCACCTAGTAAAGTTATGCGTATACAATTAGACAGCTAGGTGACATAGAGGGTAGAGTGCTTGTTTCAGAGTCAGGAAGACCCAAGTTCTTGCCTTAGACACTTGTGAGCTGAGTCACCTTAGGCAAGTCATATAACTTTTTCTCAGCTTCGTCTGTGAAATGGAGATGATAATAGCCCTTGCTTCACAGGGTTGTTGTGAGGGTCAAACAAGATAGTGAGTGCAGGGTACTTTGCAAGCCTTAATATGCTATATAAATATTAATTGTTATTATTAAAGTGAAATTCTATTTATCAATCTCTATTTTTCTGAAACTTTAAAAACGTTAAAAGATCGATGAGTTCATCAAGGCAGGTATTTTCTCTGCCAGCACAGGCTACAACCCCATCAGCACCTTAGTAGATAATTTCATAACTTGCTATGACTGAAAAAAAAAAGTCATTATTTAGTGGCAACCTTCTGGCAATGAGCCTTTCTGAACTTAGTTGGGCTGTCCTTAGGTGGCACATATCCAGTCTATTGCTGGGCCCATATTAAAATCCTTTCCAGCTTGATAAAATCTGCCAGAGCCTGAGCTCTGCTGGCGTAACCTTTGAGAACCCAGGATGACCTCCATGTCGCAATGATGCTTCAGAAGAGGATTTTAATAAAAGCTCTTTCAACGACATCGAAAAACCCCAAACACAACTGTGGATGTCTTTTCCATCCTGGAAGTCCCCTGTATTTACATAACAGTGTGGGAAATGGTTTAATGGGATTAAGGAATATATATTTCCCCTCCCCCAAATTCCTTGATAGTGGTTTAAAGCAGGCCCTGATTCAGTTAAGTTTAATAAACACTTATAAAGTGCCTACTATGTGTCTGGTACTGTGCTGGATGCTGGAGTATTTTTTTTTTTCATTTTTACAGACGTAAAAAATGAACCAGACTGTAACATTAAGGAGGCTGCATTCTTTTGGGGAAGACAATACATATCTATGTATAAGCATATACAAAGTAAACCCAAGGAAATTTTTGTGTAGAAGTGCAATAGCAGCTGATTGGGGTGGGATAGATTAGGGATCAGGAAAGGCTTCATGTAGAAGGTACGGTGGAGCAGAATTCTGAAGGAAATGAAGGATGATATGAGTTGGTCATGCCCTTGAAACACAAAAGATGGCTTGTGCAAAGGTGAGGAGATTGGAGATGAAGTGTCATGTGTGAGGAACAGCAAAGCCAGTCTGACTGGACCAAAGAATGTGGGAAAGAGAGTAATATATAATAAGGTGGCAGGTGAGTTGGGGCCAGATTGTGAAGGACTTTAAAAGGAAAGAGATCATATTGGATCCTAGAGACAATAGGGAACTAGTAGAATTCACGAGGAGAGGAACGAAACAAATTCTCCTTCATTTTAGGAAAATCACTTTGGCAGCAGTATAAAGGATGGATTAGAATAGGGGGAGACAAGGCAGGAAGACTGTTTAGAAGGCTCATCTACTGAAGGAAGGGTAGTGCCATAGAGAATGGAACTTAGAGACCATATGTTGCATGCCTGAATAGCAATCTTCTCTCAAAAATCCTGGACAAGTAGTTCTTTAGACTTCGCTGGAGTTCTAACTCTAGAGATATGAATTCAAAGTAACGTGTTCAAAAGTGTTCTCTGATTTATAAATTCATGGGCCTGTAGGGATGCAGATACAAAAGTGAACAGTTCGTCTTGTCTTGGGCTGTCATCCCTGTCTCCTCCTTATAGGAACATTGGCCTCACCCTCCACCACCCTAAGCTCTCAATGATAGGTAAGTGTTCATCTCATTTTACCTAAACCTTGTACATATCATGATTCCCTCCCCTCCTTCTAGCTCCTTTCTTTGTATTATATTCTCTCATTAAAATGTAAGCTCCCTGAGGGTAGGGAATGTTTGGCTTCTATTTCTATCATCAATGCTTAAAACAATGCCTGGCACATAGTAAGTGCTTAATAAATCATCTATCTATCTATCTATCTATCTATCTATCTATCTATCTGTCTGTCTGTCTGTCTGTCTGTCTGTCTGTCTGTCTGTCTGTCTGTCTATCTACATATCTAATTTATTTATCAACTATTTTACTTTCTACCAGACATATTATCTTTTGGTTATGGCATTGCTGATAAAGGTGAAAGACTAAGAATGTATCTGACTGGTTGGTCTAGCTGTACTATTTTCAGTTCTGACTCAGCTATGCATAGAAGACAGAATTCAGACTTGTTTATGTCCATGATCAAGTTTACATGTTTTGATAATATATAGGGCATTGGATCTGGAATTAGGAAGAACTGAGTCCAAATCCTGACTCTGAACCTCACTTCCAGTGTGACTCTAGTCTAGTCACTTAACCTCACTAAGTCTCAGTTCTCTTATCCATAAAATGAGAGTGTTGGACTCAATGACCTCTGAAGTCTTCTGCCACTCTAAACCTCTGATCCTGTGAGTTCTAGCGCTCTCTCCCTCAGGCTTCCTTTAGCAACCTAAAATGAAAAAATGCCTTTCTTTGTATCCTAGAGCTCTGCAAAGTGTTTGGCACATAGTAAGCATTTAATAAATGCTGGTTGCCTGACTTTGCAGGCCAAAGTAAAAAATAGGAGTTTTCAACAGCCCAGGGCTTTCAGCAGGTAGAAGAGTGTGTCCTTTTAAATGACAGCCTCCTCTCCTTAGAACAATAACCACGGCGTGTTTATTGGTAAGGTTTCCTTTCGGGGTGTTTTAATGTCTTGTTTGTGCACTGAGCTGCATGTAAAACAAGCCAAGCCAGGGATCCCCCAGGATTAGTAGATCTTTTTATTCTTTGCTCCATATTGAAAATCATTCCTGTCAGCCAATGCTCTCCAAGCTGCCTGGAAGAACTTTGGCATAATTTTCCTAACCTTTCAAACAGTAAAAGCAAAACTCTCCTTTGATAAAAAAGCCGGGAGGACTTTGGCGCTGTGCCATCAAGGATGCAGGCAACTCAGCTGTGATCTGACAGAATATTCCACAAAACACTGAAAAGTTCTCCTGATGGTCCCCAGAGTGGGCTGAGGCACTTTGCTTGTACTTAACATATATCAACTGTCACCCGACGGCAGTTAGTGTGGAACTGAACACAATGGAACATCCAGATGGTCTCAAACAAAGCGAACAAATGTTCGCTGCTATTAAAAGCTGTTTACATCAACTTCCAGTATTTCATGCAGTGGATAGAGTTTATCTTGTGCAATTGCTGAGGTGTAGAGCTCTGACCAATGGCTTGGGGTGTGCTCAGCCTATTATAAACTGCTCCTGCTCATGGGCCTGGTGGTGTTGGTGACACATGGGGAAGAGCTCTTGGTTATGTGCCTCTGGCTGGTATAGGAAGCCCGAAAAACGTCCACTAGTCATGAGATGGCAGATATTTGAAGTACTTACCCCTACTTCTGTTTAGTTGATCTCCTCACCCCTTACCCAGCACTGATGACTCAGGGCTGTCTTTCTCTCTGCCTCCTCTTCCCAACTCCCCCCTTTTCCCCCTTTGGCCTGTATAATGTATGGATGGGTGGTTGAGTTGCCTATCTCTCTCTGCAGACAGTGCCAAAGATTCTTATTGGCTCTCCGGTGGGAATGTTTATGCTGAGAATGTTTTGTGTTTTTCCTCTGTGGACCCATGGTATCAGGTCCTGTCTTGTTGGTGATTACGCTATAGGAATGATAAATGTACATTCTCAGGTTTCTTCCTTTGTCCTGTTTACAGTGTCCACTTGATATGTTTTAGACCTATTGCCTACCCCTAGGGAATGCCTATCATTTCTTTTGATGATGATAGCAATTTCAGGATCATTTAACTGGTTTCTTGACATTGAGGAGTCTAGGAAAAAAAGACTAGAAAAATGACCTTTGTTTATTTTTCAAATCATTATTGCCAATTTGTCTCGATGGACTATTCAGGAAAGAATGAAGATGATGGCACTGAAAACAGACTGTTATCTCGCCATTTAATTAAAAGAAAGTAATAAGGGAAGAAAAGACATTTATCACATTTGACTCCATTTCAATCCAACCCAACCCAACAAACATTTGGAATGGAAAAAGCATTTAATAACTGCCTACTATGTGCCAGGTGCTGTGCCAAGCACTTTTTATCTCATGTGATAAATATTTATTAAATTATTAAATGTATTATATACAAGGAACTGAGATGAGTATTAAGTAGTAAAAGAAAAAAAATTTGAAACAGTACCTCCCTTCAAGGGGCTTACAGTCTACTTGAAACATTTAAAAATATTCATTAAGAATTTCTGCAAATTTTGAAGTTTTTATAGGTTTATATTTTGCTCTTATATTTGAATTTTGCGAACATTCATTCATTTTATGAAACAGTGCCTATAACATAAGTGCTTAACAAACGCTTGTTGACTTGATATTATGCTTCAGAATAACTTGTTGGAAAAAGTATCTTATTGGTTTTTTTTTAATTTTCACTGTCACTTTCCAGTATTTTCCTCCTCCCACAAAAACCCTTCCTTGTAACAAAGTAGTTAACAAAAACAAGTTGAGGCATTGAACTTTTTTGACAAGATACGCATCATTCTGTGCTCCATTATCAGGTGAAAGAGATAGGTTTCATCAGTCCTTCAAGGTAAGTTCGAAACATACCAGGTTCCATATCCCTTTTCTCTTTTCTTTTCTTTTCTTTTCTTTTCTTTTCTTTTCTTTTCTTTTCTTTTTCTTTTCTTTTCTTTTCTTTTCTTTTCTTTTCTTTTCTTTTCTTTTCTTTTCTTTTCTTTTTTTTTCTTTTCTTTCTTCTCTTTTCTTTTTTTTTTTTTTTGCTAGGCAATGGGGTTAAGTGACTTGCCTACGGTCACTTAGCTAGTAAGTGTCAAGTGTCTGAGGCCACATTTGTACTCAGGTCCTCCTGACTCCAGGGCCGGGGCTGCATGCACTACTCCACCTAGCTGTCCCCTCATATCCTTTTAAGAAGATTAATAATCTTTTAGAGGCAATATGGTAAATCAAGGAACACCTAGGTTCAAGTCTTGACACAGACTCATCATGACTATGTTACTCTGTGATTCTGGGGACTCTGAGATAGTTACAGAGGAGAGAGAGTTTTCACGTTAGAGTTACTCACGTGATGAAATCACATTAGGATCCATCCTTTCTTCATGGGGGAGGGGCGGAGAGCTTTTTAAAGAACAGTTTGCCCTTTTAAAAACAGATTGGTAAATTCCTGATTTTATATTGAATCCTCTTTTTATGTTGTGCTGTGTACATGGAAATGTTCTTTTTTTTGTTTTTAAGTTCAACATGAATAAAAAATTAAAAAATAAAGTCTCTTCTAAAAATATAGATTTATAATTGATTTGCATGGAGGGGAGAATGAATAAGGAGAACTATGATTTGTTAATACAGGGAACAACCAGTGTGGAAACCTCTACCAAAGGAGGTTGTCATCTGCTCTGCAATTTATAATCTTCGAGTGTTGCCTGGGGTCGCTGAGAAATTCGTTGACTGGTCCAGGGTCACACAGCCAGGAGGCGCCAGAAGCAGTACTTGAATTTTTAAAATTTGAGACCAGATCTCTATAGACTAGACACCTCAAATAACTATTGCCTTTTGTGATTAGAGCAACAATTTTTACCTCATAACCGTGAGCCCTGAGAAATATACGTTACCCATAAAAAGTCAATTTGGGCTGAAACATGAATGGCTTCCTTATAAGGCTTGTAAGTCTGTGTGAACCATTGCATCCTAATGATTTTATTAAGTGACATCATAGGAAAGGAAACTTGAAAAAAGAACAATTTAAGCATCAAGCGTGCCTGTATTTTGGATCAGGAAAATGGTTTTGAATTGGTTCTCAGCAAATGCAGTATTTTTCTTAGTCCTCTGCGTGAGGATTGTGTTTAGAAAATAAATATGGCAATACAGATGTGAAATGATGTACAAATGTAGTAAAACTCTGGCTGCAGTGCAGGACGAGAGTCAAGCATCATGCCCCCTTCAGATGAGCCGTTCTAAGGCCGATTGTCATCCCCTGCACAGGCTGCCCCATTTCCTGTTTATGCCTGTGAAGGGCTCAGTATCCTGACTCACTTGCCTTCAGCTGCAGGGTTTTCCGCCCTCCCCAGGAGACGTTTTCCTTAAAATGGTTCATTATTTATCATTTGAATAAGCCATTGGAATTTTGTTAATTCCTGTTTGACTTAACACATGCAAAATGCTATCATTAGGTGGAAGGAGATAATGGGAAGGTAGTAACTGTTACAGATAGGACTAATTAAGTGACCTTGCAAAACAAAATCTGGGGAGCCCAGGCAATGGAGAGGAGAGGAGTGGAGGGAAGGGGAAGGGAGAGGAGAGGCAACAGAAGGAGAGGGGAGAGGGGAGGAGAAAGGAGAGGAAGGGATGGAAAGGAGAGGAGGACTGCCAAGTTTACTGCTGCCTAAGAGATCTTGCCTGTTGTATATTTGACCTGAGGTTATCAGTAATTAAAACCTGTTCTGGATACTCTAATATAGGCAGTGGGGTTAAGTGACTTGCCCAGGGTCACATAGCCAGAGTGTCAAGTGTCTGAGGCCAAATTTGAACTCAGGTCCTCCTGACTCCAGGGCTGGTGCTCTATCCACTGCACCACCTAGCTGGGGTAAGGGAGTGAATTTTGTTTCCTTTGTCTTGGTGCCTCATCTACGGGCATCATCATCCTCCCCTTCATGACTGGCATAACTCTCTTAATATTTGCTGAATTAAAAAATAGGTGTTCTTAAGTTTTTGCACCATGTTTTTTTTACCAGTTTTCTCAAAATTCTGACATGTTCATATCATGTGGGGAAGACATGACTGAATGACTGGGGGAGCAGAACCATGATGCAGGTGAAGTTTGTCATAAAGCCCACCGCCCCTCATACCTCACGTACTGCTCCCCTTCTCCCTAGCCAACATCCTAATGCTCCCTCTTCTCTATCAAATCTCTCTGGCAAGGACTTAACAAACTCCATACACAATAAGCAATTGACCAGTAAGACTAAATATGTTTAACTAAGACAAAGTCTTGAATCAGGGGTACTTAACATGGGATGGTCTGTGGATCAATTTCAGTGGGTTGGTAAACTTAGATGAAGAAATTACGTTTTTTATTTTCATTAACCTCTAACTGAAATTTAGCATTTTTTTCAATTATGAATATAGGCAAAAATGTACAGGGGTCCACTGGATTCTTCAGACTGCCAAGGGAGTTCATAATACAAAATTAGGTCTAATAGCTAAAGGAATGAATTTTTAATGGTGCATTTTAAAAATTATCAATCTAGTGTAAGCCATTTTTTTAAAGGTCAAAGTACTTTCCAGTGATTCTGGAATCTCATAGATAGCTTTTACCAGGCCCATTATATTACCCTCAGTTGTTTTGGGTGATATGGTATCCGTGGTAATTTTAAAATTAGAGTTTGGAGATAGTGTATATTGAGAATATGCATACTAGATTTCTCTTCTGAATCTCTCTTCTAGTCGACAGGAACTAGATTCATTTTTTCATTTCCCTTCCTCTTCTCTAATTCCTTCCCTTCCTTCTTTTTCTCTTCACTTCTTCACTTCCTTTTTTCTTCTCTTCAATTTTCTCTTCATTTCCTTCCACCTTCTCCTTCTTTAGTGCTCCAGTAGAAGACCCTTCTAAACTTTTTAAACTATTAGATGATTTGGTTTCTGGGGACTGATCTTTAAATGAGATCTTCTATAGAATGTGTTGAGAAAGGTTCATAGGCTGTATGCTTGAGATTTCTTATTTACCGTTTTTAGCAACAGCTCTTCTGAGTCAGTTGTCCCCCCTTGGCTTGGCAGGAACAGATATATTGTTACATCTTTTCATTTTTCTCCCCTTCCTTCTCCTCTTCTTCCTCTGCCTCTTCCATTTTTTTTTTTAATCTCTTCTTCTGGTAGAGTGGAAAACTTGTTGAATTTGGAATCATACAACTCAGGTTCAAATTCCACCTTGTCTATTTACTGTTTCCTGTGTGACCTTGGTGAAGTCCTATAATTTCTCTGGGCCTTAGTTTCTTCATTTGTAAAATGACAGAGTCAGACTATGTGACCTGCAAAGGATCTCATTTCTTAAAATGTAATCCTTTTCTTCTCCTTCCCCCTCTCTTTTTTCTTCTCATCTTCTTGGTGTTCTTTTGCCCCTTTCCCTCTTCATTTTCCTTCTCTTCCTCTATCTCTTTCTTTCTTCCTTCTAAAAAAATCCTCCCTTTGTAGCTCCATCTTCATGTTACCAAGGAAATTGAGATTCTAGCAATGGATGCCTGCTGGTTTTGAGTAGAAGTCTCCTGCTCCTTCTTCCCCTTCCTCCAGTTTGCCCTAATCTGAGGATTGGTGAGGGAAACTGATGAGATTTATGGACCTGTCTTCCTCTCCAAAGGCATGGTGGGCAACAGAAGACATAAGGAATGGTGAGTGAAGGGAAGTAAGAAAAGGGAGGCAGTAACTAAGAAAAGCTATGAGAGAAGAGAAAAATCAGTAGCCACCGAAGC